CAAAGTGAAGTCTCATTCTTGCGCAACATAGCATTTATGCGGGCCCAGGGTAGCTACAATTCTGCTGCCAGGTATCCCAATTCAATTTCCCTACCCTGGCTCCCCGCACGCGCGCGCCTTGCTGGCTCCGGGCTGCCCGTGATTTAGGCGCGCGGCGCGCGCGCGCGGACCCAAGGCAGCTACAAGGCAGTTGCCAGGTATACCCAGGGTAGCTACAATTCAGTTGCCAAGTATAGCAGTGCAACCAACCGAAAACAATTGCATTTCTTTTCGCGATGCCTGGGAACAAAATTCTAGCTACCCTGGGTCCGTATAAATGCTATGTTGTTATACCTCTTACACAGCTATATATGTTCAAAGCACGAATGAGACTTCAAAGCTGTGGTTTGCTGTGCATGTGTAAAAGTTATCGAGCGGTTGATGGAAAGGGAACTTGAAGTACTACACCTGGTAACTGCACTATAGCTACCCTGGGTACCTATACCTGGCAAAGTGCCAACTACACCTTACCATTCAGATGATGCAAATGATGTAAATTGCATTTCTTGCATCACCACCCCTCAAAAATCACCTCCAACACAACCTCAAAAAACCTTCCATCCGTGCACCCTCCTCCCCCAGCGTGTGCCGAGTTTACATGTACCTTTTGCGGGCCACCCCCCCCAGACCCCCTAACTACTCACTTCGTTCGCCAAGCACAACTCAGCTGGCGCCTTCTACGAAGGCTGGCTTTCGTAAAAATGCGAGGCAGATATGTAGTTTGCGCTTGGCGCGCGGAAATCTGCAGGGTGGGCCTTGGCATTGTCACGCAATGTCACAAACGGAAGCTAAAAGTCGTGTGGTGTGGTTTGCGGGGTTTGCGGTGGTTTGTGGCTTGCAATTTGTTGGGTGGGGGTGTAGTTTGCGGTCATTGCAAGGCGGGCCATAGCATCCATCATTGCGGCGCAAACAACAAAGAGGCGTACGCTGTGCCCTTTGCAACTGCAGCAATCTGCAGTTGGCCACTGGGGCAAGGCCGCAAGGAATATACAAGTTGCGTGGCAGGTGTGTACTTCCCCTTCGCTGAGATGGGTTTTAGCGTCCAACATGTTCCTGAAGAATTGTTACATGCATTAGTGGATTTCTACAATGACCTGTTAACCTCTGGCAATGTTCCGACTGAATGGTCGGAGAATGTGTTCATCATGTTGGCCAAAAAGGTTCGAGCGAACTATGCATCAGATTTTCGCCTATTGCTATAGTTCGGTTTTTGTATAGGACATTTGCTTATATAATACTGGGACGTCTTGAGGACACTTTGGAACAACAGCTAACCAAAAACAACATGGGTTTAGAGCAGGGCACCGCATCGAAGAACATCTGGTATCGGCAAACCTGTTCCTCGACAAGGCTGCGGCACATGAAATGCCTGTTTCGTGAGTTTGGGCTTGTCGAAAGCGTTTGATCGAGATTGTTGGCCCTCATTATGGCAAGCCTTGGCGAGTCATGGGCTTTCTGTGGTTATTGCAATCCGTGTGCAACAAGGGTGCGTCCTGAGCCCGAAGTTTTTCTGCTATGCCTTGCAATGGGCGATTTGGGAGACGGTCGCCATGCACTTCTGGACTTACGGTTCGCAAACAAGAACTGTTGGCTTGCAAAATCTTCGCCAGAACTTGCGTCATTACTGGACTCACTTGTGTCTTCCTTCCTTCAACCGGGTACGACCACAGGACTCTGCACCACCAAGACTTGCAGGCGATCAAGGCAAAATACCACAAAATATTTCATACAATTTCTGGACCCCCTGGAGGCATTTCTTGGGACCAACCGTGGCACAAAATCCTACATTGCTGGAATGAAAGGACGCAACGGTTTGCTGATGCATCCAGCATCGTTGGTTGGCCGATAATATGTCTCTGTCACTGTCTCCGTCAACATTGGTTACTGCGTGGCCCGTTTGCCTGATGATCGCTGGGGTCAGTGATTTGCTCAATTGGCGCCGGCTCAGCCGCAGGAAGGCACCACCAATCTTCAAACAAGTTGAGTTGCTGAAAGGGGCACAAGTTGCGATATTTTTGGTCGAAAACGAGCGGAGCAGGCGCAAACTATTCGCAAATTCAAGCCATTCAAGGATGTAGGTATAGATGGGTGGCGAGCTGAAGAGCTCCAACTTCTTCCAAACGAAGCCATCTTTTGACTCAAACCTGGCCAATTGACCTGTCATCCCATCAAATGATTGCTCGCGTTATTTCGCTTGCCACACGTAATCCGCCTACCTCTATTACAGATGGCCGACCCATTACCATACTTGGATACATTAGTAGGAACTGCCTCATGACCAGCGAAGGCGAAGGCTACGGCTGAGTTACGTTTTTGTCGCAGGTTCTCTTCGGCGCCCGTCCCCCACTCAAAGCGGCCTCCATGGGTTTGAGCGCCTAGTCAAGCCCAAGAACTTGCCACTGTCCACGGTCTCCTTGCTTGGAGACTTCGGATCTAGAATGGTTTTGGATTCAGTACCATACAAAAGGAAAGCTCCGTCCAACGCCCGGAGGCGGCTTTGAATGCGGTTATGATCACACCAATCCAATGCTGATCCGGCCAGAACGAGTGAGGCCAGGGCCCCACCATTCTAGCAAAGGCGTTCGTCACAAAGGCATATGTCAGAGACTTCCCCGCGTTTGGATCGCGGGGTTGGGCATGCCCACCACCGCGCTTTGCATGTGAACGTACAAGGCGGCCTCCTGAATCTTGTTCTGACAAGAGACGAAACAAGCTTTGAAAACACCGAAAGCAAAAATGGCCAGGAGGCCACATCCTTCGTGAAAGTATTCGGCCACATCCTTTGGAAAGGAACGTTGTCTGGAAAAGAGAACGCGGAAACTTTACGGTTTGCTCAATGGATAAATCCAGTCCACGAAGGCTCTGAATACATGTCGAAGACGCTACCAAAATGTAACGTAGACTAAGCTCTGTGATGTATGGAGCATAGAGAGGCATCCTACCCCGAAAACCACTGTCCAAGCCAGCGTCTCCTTTGGAATTGGGCAAGTGTGGCAAAACAGGCGTGCACTTCCCCAGCGGGGTCAATATTGCAGGCCATGCCGACGCGCCCGTGCAGGGCGTCTCGATCACCAGAAGCCAAGGTCTATTCGGCTTTGTCACTGACAGCAACACGCAGGGAAGCAGTATCATGGGGACTGTGCGGACCACCCAGTTCAGCGGAAGCGGCAAAAGAAGGTGTATATATACATAGTCCAAGACGCAGGAGGTGTAGGCACAAGCGGCAGCGCAGGAGCACCGACAGCAGAAGAATTGAGAGCTGGAACATGAACGTCGGCCAACGACAAAGCAGGAGCAGGGAGTGCATCAGAAGATGCTACTGGCACACCGGGACATGGAGAACCATCCTCACTGGCAGAATGCACAAGATCAATGTAACCTGGCTCAACGCGCGCCGCCTGTCAGACGCGCACGCCCAATCCAAGGCAGCATCAAAATCGTCACAAAACCGACGGGCCGCTTCTCGAGCAATTGGTGCCGATAACGCGCAGCTATTTGCAGCATCTTAGACCTATATTGGGTGCAAAGCGGAGTGAGCTAGTAATGCTTTGAAAGAAATAACTTCAGGAGTCTTCAGGAGCACGACTGACACTTAAGAGAAACAGCTGCCGTAGCAGGCAAAGGACATGAGGATAAGTAGGGTGCTGGGCAAGAAAATGGAGCGTGGTGGAGCTTAAAAAAACGTTGTTTTCGTGGTGCTCGGGGGAGTTTGGAGGAAAGGTCCGCGCTTGGATGTTTCTGTGTGCGGTTGCTTGTGTATGGGCGGTCTTGATATTTGCTTCTCTATAAAGATTTTGGTGGTCTTTGTTGGGGTTGGCTTGCAACTGCCTACTGAGTTATGACCAAGCCGTTCCAAACACACACCACTCGCGCGCGAAAAACATAACTCCCTTGCCCGCTCTGGCGCCTGCTCTAAATGTTGCTGTCGGGTGGCTCACAAAAGGTCTGCTATGTTGAACAAAGCACTGCCTTGCCCGCTCTGGCGCCTGCCTCCTCTACATGTTGCCCTCCGTTCCTGTGGCTCACAAAAGGCGTGCTACCTGGGCATGGCTCCTTCCTCCTCTAAATTTTGTTCTCGGGCGGCTCACCTTGGAATGGCTTTCTTTCTTTCTTTGTTCTTTCTTGCTTGTTGTTTTCTTTCTCTTCTTTCTTGCTTCCTTTTATCCCTGCTTGTTGCTGTCTGGGTCCCTCTTAATTTTTGAATTGATCCCCGGCCTATTTGTTTTTTCTTGATCCCTATGTTTTTTGATTCCTCTCCCGGCCTTGGGCCCATTGCCTAAGGATGCAGGTAGAATATGATACACGACCGGGTTAGATTTAACAAAGCAGGATGGACGAGGCTTCCGCCCGTGCTGAAGAAATACAACAGCACCAAGCACTCATCCACCAAACTCACGCCCAGCTAAGTGCACGACGACAAGAACTATATGGACGTGAGAGTAAATTTGACAAAAAAAGAAAAGAACACCAGAAAATATGAGGAGGAGATTAAGGAGAACGATACGGTCAAAACCTTCACGAAGGGAAGAGGCAACTGCACCGACAGGAAAGAATACGTAAGTCGATGGAGCCAAGAGAACTACAAGCAAAAGAAATTTACAAACATATCAAAAAGCTGAGTTCTTAAGCAAGCCTGGGGGTTGCACGCCCTCATTTTATAGAGGCCCCACTGTGGTCCCTGGTCGAAGAGGTCGAAGGCTCTGTTGGTGAACGTGGCAACCTCAAACATCTGGCCAGAAGGCTCAATTCTGAAGCCTCATATGGTTTTGAACATTGGTAGTACTATATTATCTATATATGTTATCTTGTTTTCTACAATATGTTCATGCATCTTCTCAGAGATGTCAGTCCAAAGGTTCTTTTTTGTTTGCATTCAACTTCTGAAGAGTTGTTGACTCATGTTCTCATTTCTTCAAGTTCAATGGCTACAAAAGCACAGGATGGAACAAACTAATGAAATCCAACGAGTGTTTTGTGAGACCTCATGGAAATAATATGAAAGTATCTCAAAACATATTGAACAAGATTTGCAAAGTATCATGACATACCAAAATGTTCAAAAACATCAACAAAAACACTCAGCTGTCTATAAAATCACTACTCATGACCCCCTTTTCAAGATAGCGTGTCTTGATGCCAACGCATGCCCACACCTGTCTGTTTACAAAATCAGGGACCCAACCCCCAAACCACATATATATTATATAAATCAACATATACCGGGTCATCCGGCCATCCCGGATCCCCCTGATTCTATAGAGGGCAATGTATCATATATATACAGAGGTGTGCCTCAGCGATAGGGAAATGTGTTTGGCGAAAATGCGGAAGAACAGATCCGCCTCTTCCGGACCTGGATTCCTCTAAAGGTTCACCTTTCCTCTCCGACCGGTACTGCAGCGACCAAGTCCGATCGAGGGCTCCGGGGGCCTGGCCTGTCATCATGTCATCATGGCATGACCCAGACCTACCAAGTGTAAAAACATTACCTCCACTGCCAGCCAGCAGCAGCTCACTTCAAGATCCACCCTGTGCGATTCGGGCGTTGCTCGTCCCCCGTGGGGCAGCAGAGTTGAGCGAATTGCTCGTGCTCGCTGGGACCCCGCGCAAGGGGCGTTGATGTTGCATGCTTCCGCGATGGGGATGGCCTACGGCATCCTACGGCATCCTGGCGAGGGTGCAGTGCCGAGTCCAGTGTGTAGCCGCAGGTGATCGCTGCGAATCACTCCTTCGCAAGTGGTTCTTCCAGTGATTCGTGGATGTGCAGCCGAGGATGGCGCCCTGACACAAGATGGCACAAGTGCAAACCCAAAGGCCACACAGTAGCTCCGACATCAGCGGCCGCAGAGCCCTCGCGCACACGAGGGTGCGTCTGTGGATGCACAACCTCCAAGGCGTGTAAGTGTGTCAAGATCAGTTTAATTATATAGTCAAATTAGTCAATGCGTCCTTGCTACTAGTAGCAATTGATGCACTTGTTACTAGTAAACTATATAGTCAAAGCATGTCAAAGCTATATTGTCCTTCGCATCTGTTCAAATTCGCCTCGTTCCACGTTTCAAAGCTCGAACACCAAAGAAGTTGGCCTTTTGGAAATCGTTGTATCGCAAAGGAAGGCGCTTGCCTTTCAATCCTCGCGGCTACGAGGTGTAAATCGGCATACATGACTGCCTCTAATTACTGTGGTCCAGTCCGAACAAATACTGGTGCGCTCTAGCTTCGTTGTTCTTTTTCCGCGGTGTGACGCAAAGACGGCGGGCTGAACGAGCGTCAGGGTAGGCGATGGGATGCCGGCATGCAATTCAGAAACCATGCCTTTGGACATCGTGGTGTACCAATGTACCACTGATGCAAAGGTGCGCGGCCGCGGAGACGGCGGGTCCCCCTCGGGCGCGAGCTGGATTCGGACCCACGCACAGTACCAGAGTGGAGAAGTGAATAGGACCGTGCAAGCGAACCGTGCAGTGCGTCTGCACAGGTCACAGCACACGATGAAGGTCAAGGTATGGAACTGCTCGGGTCAGGTGACAGTTGGAGTGCGCCTGGTGCTCAGGTCCGGGGGAAGATCAAACAGACCCATGTCCAGTAGGCAGGTCGGACAGGGAACATGTGCCAACCAGTCACATCGCGACAGTTACCAGTCGGGTGGCCCACGTCCAAGGAAAGGTAATCATGGGTGTCAGAACCGCAGGAACACAACCAATCGCAATTCAGATGACTCCAGAACAGTTGACGAACTCCCCTGACATGTACACCAGAACCGGAGATTGGCCACCTACAGGCGCCTTTTTCATGCAGAGACCTTTCTCCAATGCATTATCGAGCGGCAAGTGGTCGGAGGGCCGAGTGAGATTCTGATCGCCGTGTTTCTGAGAGTCCCCCAGTACTTCGTGGATCCTATTGCAGTACTACGATCTGGACATCTGGTTGTCTCTCATTCTGGGCCGAATTCCCACGTCGGGCTCGCGCTTCCCCGGCACCGGTGAGATGGGAGGGGCGACCGCTGGACCTCTGGCCCATCACTTGCTTGACCGAGAGCTTGCCGAATGGCTAAGGGTAGTTGCAGGTATAATAATCATATCATATTCATATTTAAATCCCACGAGCATACTCTGGAAGATTTTGTAACATTCATTGTGAGTCTCTTCACTGGACGCAAAACTGGATGTCGACCGACGATGTAAACCTCGGTAAGAAACGCTTTCGTGGTTTCGGGCGAAGGATTTGCATCGTGTTTGTGTCACATCCGTCTCCCCCGATTTGGGGCCAGCTTTGAGCTGTATAGACTGACTTGCATCATCTTGCATCTGGGGAAGCTATGTCTAGCCAAGAACGCAAAACTCCTATCCATTCGCGCTTGTGAATAGAGAATCGACCCCCCCAAGTATAGATGAAAACTGTAAAACAGTCCAAGATCCCAGGACCCGCTCCGAGCATTGCTGGTTCAGGAGCCCAGTAGTGAGCCCATATGAGCTTCATGCACTGCATGTACCACTTCCCGTGGGTGCTGGTCACCTTCATCACCAGGTTCAGTGATGGCATCAGACCTGGGGCCTCGAAATCGAAGTCCCTCTTGGCCCGGCCCATTTATGGGCCGCACCAGCTATGTGCATGGTCAGCGGTCGCCCGTGAAACGGGTGTGTTTCACACCGAGAATCTTCGACGCGAAACCGGTCGTGGCGCTTCCGAGAGTCAATGGAAGTTTCTTGTTTCTATAGAGCGATGCACTTACTACTAGTTTTTTGTTTCTACTAGCTTCTTGTTACTACTAGTAAGGCACTTGTTACTAGAAGCGATGCACTTGTTCCTAAGGTCTTTTTGTGACACTGGAGGATGCTGACCCAGCTCCCCCTGGTTCGTGGTGTCGCAGCAACGATTGGGACTTCTTCCGGGCTGTGAAGTGCCAAGGCAAATGGAGATTCTAAAAAAAAGGCTTCCACAAAATGCATGTACCTCAGTTTATTACACCTTCAGCGCCAATCACCATGTCTCATAACATCTCATAACGCTCTTCCATGTCCAACGACCTCACGACCTCCTCGCGTGCGCACTGCCATCATGTCAGACCCTCAGGCCGCCACACCGGTGGTCTTCACCTTGCGGAAGGGATGCCACACCCGTGGTCTACAAACAAGCAGCGCTAGCTGGATGATGTCCACCCCATGGCCACACACACAGTGGGTGGGCCAAGAGTTGGCAAGTGCATGTGAGCGATCTTAGTGATCCGGATCTGATGGAAGTTTCCTCGATTTGAAGACCCCAGGGCTAGTTAGGCAATTCTCAGGCTCTTGACTGATTAGCAATTTTGATCAAAGGCCCCTTCGGCTTCGACACACCAGCCAACATGTGGAGCTTTTGTTGCACCTACTCTTGTGTTTAGAGGCTGACAAGATCACACTCTTTTTGTACCCATGTGAGGTTGGGTCAATACTCACCCGTTTCATCCGATGATATAGTCTAGAAGCAAGGAAACAATGGTCATCGCCGCTGGTTGACTAGTTCAACTTAGACATGACCTGCACAATCCGCTGGATCAAGTGAAGGGACACCACCAAATTGCTGCTACGACTTTCAGAATCCCAACTTGTAAGGCAGGACCTTGTGTGTTAACAAACCTGTATTATACAAGAAGTGAATGACTGAGTCTCGGGAATGTACTTACTGCAGACTTAATTGTTGGGAAATGCTCTTAAGTCCGCTCAACGAACGATTGTGATAGATCATGTATTGATTGTTTCATGTTAGCATGGTTTTACTGCGCAGCAAAGCTGAAGTAACCAACTGCGGGTGGGAAAAGGAAATGAAGAAAAGGAACGCAAAAGAGGGAAGCACATAGGACAAAGGAAGCAAATAGGATTAGACTCGTTTGGAAAGGCTTCTCAATCTGATGTGTTTGCTTTTCTCAGACTTGCCGTGCCATAGTGTTTCAGACTTGGAGGGGCTCCTCCCTACACCCCATCGTTCCAACACGGCACCCTGTTAAGACCATTTCAAAGGTGTTGAAACGGCTCATACTGTATGTGCTTCGTGACATGGCGGGTTGTTGCTTCGTTTGTACTCATGTACGTGTGTTTTCTTTTTGTCCGTTCCCTCCTGTCGTTTCCACTTCATTTTGCCTCTATTTTGTTAATTGCCTAGCAAACCTTCAACTAGAAACCCAAGCTTGAAAAGAACTGTTCACTGGGCCACGTCCAGTTTTAATGTGCCACTCAAACATGGAGGCGAATCCTACTTTCATAGGTTGGAACTTCCACAAAAGCACTAGAATAATCTAGAATATGTATATATATATATATGTTCCAACGGGGTTACCCGACCCAAGCATCCGGTGGCGACACAGTCAAGAGACACTGGATGTAGTGTAGACTCTGACAGACAGATTTCTTGCAAAAGAGGTGTGGTTAAGAAACATCTTAGACTCTGACTGTACACAAAACATCGCAAAGCACCGCATTTCTTATCACACTGATGAGCCGTAAATGAATTCCGTGGCCCGCAAAGGATCTAAATCAAACCCACACCTATTCCTAACCTACCCAATTCTACCCTACTCACCTTCCATCCATGTTTGCCCCAAAGAAAAATTGGTCATATTCATATTCAAGAATCAGCTGTCCATGTCCCACATGGCTTGAAAGCAGCTTCTCCAGTTGGGGTCCTTGGTTGACCTACCTGGAAGGTCGTTCGCTACATGGTCGACCAGGGCTCCAGGTTTTGACCCATCTCCAAGTCTTTCCAGAATAGTGCCTGCGCGACGTGGAACCCTGCACTGCCCGCGCTGGGGAAGCTGCGCCGCATGGCCTCACCGGAACTGCGCTGCACGTTCTCAGCCATGTTGGGCGCACGGCGCCGATCTGAGGGATTGTTTGGAGAGACCCATAGAACAAGATGAGAGGTCCCGCTATGGCTCAGGTAGTGGATATGAGCCATAACTTGTCTCCATGATCTCATGTTTGAAAACAAATCCCCCACATGTGATTTCACCATCCAATCGTGCCTTAAGGTGCTTTCCGACCAATCCATGTCACCCACCGAGATCGCCTGGATCTTCTGCGAGCTCACCGAGGGCGTCGCCAGCGGCGGCCGCACCGGGGGCCACGAGTCGCTGGGCTGGGCACCGAACTGAGCGGGGCACCGGTCGTGGCGCAGATCGGGGGCCCACGTCCAGTGGGTGGGTAAACAGGGTGGAACATGGTGGAACAGTCTCTATACTGTATATATATATATATATATACCCATATGGCGAGACGGATGGTGCAAATGGCCAGACGGGTGGTGCGGCGCCCGCCCTTCGGAGCTGGCCAGTTCTCGATGCAGGTGCCAGCGATCAGGAGTGACAATGGCACTTCGCAGAATCAAGGGTCTTGCTGCTCGTCCAAAGTTTTGTATTGCAGGAATTGAAACCAGACTTTTGACGATTCTCATGACCAAAAAACATCTAAATACGACCATCCCATGCGCCAAAAAATTTATGGACGGTTCCTGCAAAGTGAACTTGGAAGTGGAATTTACTCCTTGGGGTGTAAATTGTTGTGTCTATTTAGATTTAATTATCAGTCATCAGCGATCTACTTTGATCTCGACCTGAAACCAAGATCCAGTGCCATGTGGTTTGGATCTCTGCAGAATCAACAAAACCTAAGAAGAAATGAATCTTCAAAGTCCATGCCATAGTTGTTTTTTGGCGGGCACATCATGTTCTTTCTCCTTCCCGATCTGCGAAATGACCGGTGGGCTCACCCGTCTGATCCGTTGAGCCCGGGTCACAATAGTTAAGTCTGTAGGAAAATTTGCCAATTGTCCGATTCGATCCACAAACGGCTGGTTGGTGGTTTGAAGCTCTTGTGCAGTTATCAACCGTCAGGGAGAACCCAAAACACTTGTGAAACGTGCCCCGCATTAGTTGGACAAACATGCCAAAACAAATTTCTTATTAAGGCGCCCTAAGGCAGGATTCGTTCACCATGAGTTAACCCTCGAACATCCTATGCGGCTTGAACGTAATCACTGAACAGGTTTTAAATTGCGGCCTTCCGAGACGTCCCTCATGGTGAGGCAGACCCAGCTAGTTTTGGGGGAAGTTCCCTTGCCACTGGCCAATCAAACAAACCTATAGCGAGCACAGTCACGATGTTCTGCACATTACTAATAACTTCTTAGCTTGAGACTTATCCATACTGGTGTGCCAGCTGAGGGGTGGCTGGAGAAGGTTGAATCAGAAAGCCCCCTACAAGCAACGGCTTGTGCCCCAACTCGCTCAGCAATTTCTGTAGCAAGCTGGAAGATCCTTGAGCGGAGTGCACCAACCTTCTCAAACCTATGGCTCACTCAATTTGCGACTTGCCAAAAGCTTGCACAAGACCGTGCACAACGGGACAGGGCCCATGGCTGACGGTGGTTGCGCCGGGTGCGTCCATCAACCGCGAAGTCCTTCTTCGGTGCTGATAGAGTAGGTTCATTTTGTATGGGTCGCTCTTGATTCAACGGGATTAAGGTCCGACCAGCGATTATCCTTTAGGCCTGCTTCAATTGCTTGGCATCATGCACAATGCTTCGCAAACACAATCTGCGGCAAGAACCTATAGCAAGATGGCCATGAAAAACAGTTCAAACAAAATAGAAACATGATGAAAAATGAATCCCCTCTTTAAGTACAAAAGCGATGTCTGTAAATCGAGCGTCCTTCAGCTGTGTGATAAAAGGCCTGCACAGATTCAGATGCTTGAGACTGACATGCAGCCCCAGGTGGGTGTGTGTGTGCCTGAGAGGGTACCATGAACAAAAGCTTGACTCACATGGCCCCAAGTGCCCCAAGTTCCCACTCGCCAGGCACCCGGCCACAGCACCCGGCCTCAAGCAGTGGAGAGAATCTTCAGACAAAAAAGGCTTTCACTGGGTCACTTCCGGTGATGACCTCTAAGTTGGCCGCCCACCCCCTACGTTTTGGCTTGAAATCTGAACCACCCTGCCAGGGGGTGACAGGTGAATTTTGGAGGCATCCGCCATCCGCAGCTGTGCTACTTGACCCTTGGCGATGTTTGATGCACTTTGGCTTGTGTCCTATCCCAGAAATACTGCAATATACAGCGCCTTTACAGCTGGTTGCCTTCAATGGTTTCACGTCAAGATACCTCTGAAGAATTAGGAGGCTATTCCAACATACTTCTAGTCTAGTCAAGTCGTTGTCTAAAATTACAAATATTGCAAGATGTTATATAGTCAAATACCGAAAAAACTTCAGTTGAACCTTTCAAGGATATGAAACGATACCTCGATTGGGCAAAAAGAACGCAAACTTCAATAGACAAAAACATAGTGTAAGTAAAGGAATTAAGTGATGGGATTGCATTAAAGGCATGAAGGGAACAAACAGGAACAAAACAAGAACAAAGGATATTGAAAAGCAAAAGGTAAGGAATCAAGTAACTTGCATTTTCGAAAATGGAAAAGACAAATAACAAAGGAAGGGCCTTTCCAAATCTGTGGGAACGTACTGTCCTTGTAAAATTAGCTTAATAAAAATAACCCAAAGAAAGGAGCTGGCAGGTTTAGGCCCTGCGGCGGAGGTGTGGGAGGACCAGGGGAGCAGGTGGGGTAAGAAAATAAGAACATAGTCCAATGGTCTACTACATCAGAATGGGGTGCAGAACAATTACCAACACAAGTCTGTCGACTATTCTTGCATTGAAGTGGTCTCTGAGGCTACCTCTTTGGCTATGTTTTTCATCGTTTGTCCTTTTTCTTCTTGGCCTACATGCTGAACATGTGGTATTCGTAGTGCGCCGAACTCGAGACATGTTCACGCCTTTGCTTTAAACTTTAAACCATGGTTGAATGCCACGCGGATTTGCGCGATTGTGGCATCCGGGGACGAGACACATGCGTGTGCAACGCGGCGTGCCAATGGTGAGCGGGATGATTTGTGGTCGCAAAAGAATAACCCACAAGAGCATCCTGTGTCCCACATGAGTGTGCCACAAAGGTCCCCTACAAGAGTGTCGCAAGAGTGTCTTATATACAAGAATGTCTCTCAAAAGTGTGTCCCACAGACTGTCTTAGAAGAGTGTTCTCCAAAGATGTCCCAAAGCGTGTCCAAGGAGAGTCTCCCCACAAGAGTGTCCCACCAAAGTGTGCCACAAAACTGCCCACAAGCGTGTCCCAAAAGGGTGTCCCACAACACTGTCCTATAAGACATTATCGAAGAGTGTCACCCAGATTGTCCATCTTTGGAGTGCCACGCGAGCGCATTCACAAGCAAGCTGTTCATCCTTCCCTATGATGCAGGTAGTGGCCAAATCTTGGGGACCAATGAAACCTATGCAAGCACAAACAATATCAATTTGGTATCAAACAACAATATCAGCAACGATGCTATTGGAGATGTGTTGAAGTGACCCGTATACATAAAGACCCGCATAGTCTAATCAATCGACGACATGGAGACTTCGAACAGCTCTAAAACTTCCAGAAGGCCTGCAGCATGCAGCGCCCCACCTGCACCCTTTGAAAGTCCAACACCTGCGCCTCTGAGACCTTGCCTCCCCCCCCCCCCCCTCAGCTGCGCTCCCCGGCGGCCGTGGGAAGGGCGCCGGAAACTCCGAGGAGGCGGACGTCTCTGGCTCCAGGCGCGCCACAGGCGGGGCCTGGCAGGTCGCGTCGGTGTCGTCAATCTTGCATCTTGCCACTTTTAGATTCACTTAACAAAGAAGCTACTAGGAACAAGTGCCTTACTAGTAGTAACAAGTGCCTTACTAGTAGTAACAAAGAAGCTACTATTATAGTCATTGCCATTGCATCATTTTGCACCGCCTCCCAAATCCCCATCCGACCCGGAAGTCCCATCTCTCCACCCGTTCTGGGACACCCGGTCCGTGGTGCGCATGATCACCGTGAAATCCCGCTTCCTCGGCGCCATCGGTCGGCGCAGGACGCCGCTCTTGGAGGTGGCTATGTCCCATTGCAATTATATTGTGATTCTGCCGGCATGCCCAAACAAGCCCAAGGAAAATCCCCAACATCTAGACACATGTTGCGCGTTCTTTTAAAAATACTTATGTCGCACACCGCCGACCTTTCCTGCTGAGCATCATCAAGAATTCAACTGGGGAAAAAGCAAAGAAGAACCAGCGAAGGTGCAAAAACTGCTATAGATCCCACTTACACTGAACAAACTCCATCACACTGAAGATACTAATCAAATCCAATCAAGCCGTCTAGACCTCTTCTGCTCGAGCTGAGCCACCAGGTACTGCATTTGTTCAACACCTCGCTCCCCCCCTTCCTCCCAGGAACCTCCTCCAGAACTGGGAACCTCCTCCACATCCTGCCTGCTCTGGAACCTCCTCCAGAATCCCTGCGCAGGCCTGCTCCGGAACCTGCTCCGAAACCTACCTCCTCCAAAGCCTGCTCAAAACCTCCTTCAGACCACCTCCGGAACCTTTTCTAGAACCGGCTCCAAATCCTCACTTGCTCCGGAAATTGTTGTGGAATGCTCCGATCTGCTCGGAAGTCCACTGTGGCTGAAGACCCCTAAAGCTTCGCTGTAATGTTCAGTTTTCTCTCCCCACCATTAGTGAACCAAGCCAGGCCATCTGAGCCTTGCTCTTCTCTGATTTCAAGATCTGAGCTTTCCACTCCTCTGGGTCATCCACAAAGTTCGAGGCCCGTTTCAGAGAATCCAACCTGCATGGGTTAAACTCGCTCCGGATTGACAGGGTTCACCGCATCCGATTGGGGTGGAAGAAAGAACTAAGCTATTGTTGACATCGAGCAAAGGGAACAAACATATCTATGGCATTTAGAGTGTCACTTGATGGGTTCCAAGCACTTCAGGTTCTTACGTGCCACAGATGCTGCGGGTTCACAGCTTCTGAATCGACTTGACAAATGGTCACATCAACATGCTGCGGCCACTCGGCCACTCCAAATGTGCAAGTCTTGTGCCTATGTGGCAGTGACTTCTTCGGCAAACACCAACGAACCATATCGAACCTGGACATTCGATTCGCCAACAACTCCATGATTGCTTAGATATTCAACAGGGTGCGGATTCGCTTGGAGCTTCCATGTCGGAGTTGGTGGCTGGTCCACCGTCGGCGCCTGTCCCTGCGCCAGCGGTCGTCCTGCAAGTGCTCCGCCTGCCTCGTTGTCGGGTATACCGTTCTCGAAAACGGAGAATCTTGGACGAACCGGACCCTTGGGGCGAAACTTGTGCGAAATGTTGTCATTCAATGTTTCTTATGGAATCTTATGGATTTGGTTGCTTGGTCTTCTTCAGTCGCTCGCTCCACCCACTGCATGCCTTTTTGGTCCTCTCCTCGCATCATGGCGAACTCGTGCGTCTCGCCGCCCACCCGAAACGGGCGCCGTCGTCTGACGCGTCCATCTGAGCCGGTCCGGGTGCGACTACACCTGAGCCGCCGTGCTCCAGGTACCTTCGGCTTCGAACCGCCGGACCTGGACATCCAAGGGACTGAAAGAGAAAAAAGGTACACCAAAGGAATGAAGATGAAGCTGCTCAAGCAGCTGAATATACCCTTATATAGTTTTCTCATGTTTTCCCTTAACTGTTGCTCAAGCAATCGAAGTAGCAACAATCGTGCTTCCGAAGAGATGACAGTCCTCTAGCCCCTACAATGTGCAGGTCCGCTCCTGAGTCAGGTCCTATATACACAACCGGACAAAAAACTCGCGGCGAAAGAGTGAATCGACTCGAAACATCTTGGACTCTTGAAATATCGTGAAACAAAAGCGAGTAACAATGGTTTTTTTATATTTTTTTATGTTTTTTTGGTGCTCTATCTATACGCAAGAAACGCATCCAGTGACAGGTGGTCTAAACATCCTTCACGTTTCCTGACCTTTGGCAGCCAGATCTTCCAAACGACAAAAAGAATGGTAGATGATGCAGAATTTGATGGCTAGCCCACTGGGATGCTCTATCATGCTGTATTCTTTCATGGTTTTCCTCCGCCCGCCATCCAAACCAAACCGCCGGTTTCTCATGGTTTCTCTGCCCCAGCCCGGGAGAATCGTCGCTTCGGGAGCACTGATAGGAGAGGTCCGTCTGCACTTGGCCGTCACTTAGGGCAAGCTGGACCTCGGGCTGGTGGATTCTTGAGACCCGAAGCCCTGAAGGGGCGCTGGTGCACACCCCGGAGCGCACCCTTCCCCCCCAAAGCCGATCTCCAAAGACACTCAAGACACTGGCTGTCTCAAACCGCTTGCTGCTTCGGGTTTTGCACTTTGACCGATGTTTTGTGTCCACGAACGCCACAAAATGGCCCAATGGACCCCGGAAGACCGGTCGTCGTTGCGGTCGAGAGACCGGTCGATCGGATTTCTACAGCACACCTCCCTACACCGGGGTGGGCGGAGCTTGGCACTCCCCACCACCGGAACCTCGGTGGCGCGGGGACCAGCGCTGGCCCCGAAGAATCGCCCCTGGCCCCCCATCGGGGCCCCCTCGTTCCGACTTGGCTGCGGACTTGAGTGCTCGCGTCCATCGTTTGCCTGGTGCAAAGAAACAAATACAAAACAGAGAGAGAGAGAGAGAGAGTTAGAGTGAGAGTTAGAGATTGGGCCAGGCGAAAATGCGGAGCTGCGACGGGGAGACGGCAGCTGGGGCAAGAAGTGCTGATGCCGCTTGGGGGGAAGTAGACTCAGTAGACCGCATTCCTACCTGGCATGGAGTGAAAGTGTGCCTTCCACAGCAAGTAGCAGGCACAAAGGAATAGCAGCAGCTACAAAAATGCGTGCAGTTTGTCTCTGTTGTTGTGGTTGTTTTCCTGTGGCTGTTTGTGGTGGTATTGTTGCTTCTTCTCCTGCTGTTGATGTGTGGTTGCCTGACCGGCTATTTGCCTGCATACCTGCTCCCACTATGATAGAACATCTTTGCCCTAGTAGCGATCGCCTCCAACCTAGTAGCGATGGCCGATGGCCTCCAACCTAAGAGCAATGGCCTCCAGCCTAAGAGCGATGGCCTCCAACCTACTAGCGCTGGCGTCCAACCCAAGAAGCATCTTTGCCAAAAAGAACAAGTCACAAGTCTATTCGAGTCAACAAAAAGCACGCGATAGTCGAATCCACCATATGTCGGTCGCTGCGTCGTCGCCCCCTGGTCGCACCGGTGCATGGCGGCCACCAGACGTTGGATCTCCATCTTCGCTTGGGTCTGGGCGATCAAGGAGCGAGGAAATGAAAAGAGCTCCATGTAAACCGCTGGTGGCTTGACTCAGGGAGAAAACAAATCAAGATGGCGGGTTGAGTCATGCGGGTTGAGTGGTTCGGCTCTACAATCCAGTCTGGTAGATAGATGCTTTATGATGCTTTTGAGCCACACACAAAGAGTTAGCAAACTCACCAGCCACCAGCTGAGCATGAATAGGATCCCCAAAGCTTGTCTTGTTGTTATGAGGATGCATTAATTTTGAAAGTCACATGAGTTCACTCAAGTAGGTGCCTGCCTATCAGAGCCCAAAGCCCGAAAGGCCAAACAGCATCGTTCCTTATTGCTGTTCCTTATTGGGTACCACCATTCTGTTCCTGATTGCTTTGAGATGATTTGAACCTACTGGAAGTCGGCCCACAGCGATGTGAGTTTTTCTTGGGGCACCACCGTTCTCAGGCCTAGTCAACCATCCACAAGGCCTGCCCGACTGACTGGTGCTCAGTAACGAATGGGGGAATGGATCCTAAGGTATCTATACCAGGGACCTAAGGGGTGGTTAATGGAAACCCCGAACCATCGTCCAAGGGGCTACAAGTATCATTAGACACCCTTAGGGCCTTAGGGCCCTGGTAGTGGGTTCAGCCACCCTCATTCCCTGCTTTCGCCGCAGCAGACAGGAGAGAAACAAACACGTGTCGCTCCGACCATGTCCTCCCCATAAATCGGCCGGTCAGCCGCTCAGTGAGGTGAGAAACCCTCCAAACCACTCAACCCATACTGCTCTTGTACAGTCACAAGGTTGCTCCTGCACCTAAAAGACCAATTCTCTGTGGACCTGCTCCACATCTCTCAGCACAAGTCCTGCTCCTGGACGCCGAGAATATGCGAATCCTGCGAATTCGGCGAAGCATCGAAATCCAGGGAGCCGTGCCAGTTGTCTTTCGAGGCTGGCCCTCACTTCTTCGAAGACCTGCCGGTGTCGTTGCCGAAACGGGCGCGGGCGCCGTTGCTCCCGGTGTCTACCGATACACATCGAAGGCCAACATAAAGCAACCGCGGGGCTCCAAAGCCTCATCAACCATGCTTTTCACAAACTACACACTGCACAACTACTGATGCCTCCAAATGCGGGGGGGGTGTAGTATGTACATCTACCACGACACCCACCTCCAAAAATATGCTTTCACATCGCGAGACCCACGACCCTTGAAGAAAACTTGCCTCTGTACTGTGCCGAATGCGTTCGTACTGCATTTGGTAGTCCTCGCAGGGCGAGCGCAATGTTCGGCACCGCGTACGGTCTCAGCGGCCAGGGGAAGTCGTTGAGGCCAGGAGACAAACCTCTGTCACTACCTCTGTCATTTCTAGATAGTTATATATATAATGTACAATATACAGGAAGCAATGGAAAATTAATGAGTCATAATAGGTATGTCACAAAAAAATGCGCTGGTTAACTGTCTATAGAATGTAAATAGTAGTCTAAAGATCTCTAAAGAACAATTTGTTGTCCAGGCCCTTCGGCTAAGCAAGCATTCAAGCGCATGAAAGTGCTAGAGTTCCCTTGGCAGGGTAGCTGCTGTCCCAACTACAGTATAGATACAGTATAGAATGAACTTGTCCTTGCCGAATGAATGTGTTCCTGAGATAGATCAATTCGCTTACTCTCAGGCACTCTCAAGGAGCTTTGTTCTGTTCCATAGTGATACTTTTCTCAGATCAGTTGCTTCCAGTTGGCGCCACTGCACATGCAGTAATTGTTCTTCAGATAGCAAGTGCAAACGAACGTCAATATGCCCCATCCCACCCCACCCCAACCCCCCACCTTTCACGTAGCATCAACTTCAAAAATCGCAGTAGTCACACGTTCGGTTTTACACCCGTAGGCATAAACATGTTTGAAGAACGGGAGCGCCCCCTGGCCCATTCGGATTGGTCTAAGAAGTTGCTTTTGGTAGACTATCCCATAGGTACCGTTACCCTCAGTAGACTTAGCCTCTCTTGTTTACACCATTTTACACCCCGTGTGGTTCGGTCTTCGAACCTGGAAACGGCGCTTGAAAAAATGAACGACCTTCTTGGGAGGTCATTGGATCGTCCTCTCGGCCCATGCTGCAATGCTCCACGTCAGGAAGCACCTGACATGCAGGTTGGAGGTTGTGTGAAAGTTGGCACAAGAACCACAAGGATGGAAAGGAAGTTGAAGCGATGATGCCGCGGATGAGCATGAGGATGAGCCGGAGGAAAAGGAGGAGCGGCAGGAGAAGAGGATTATATACAAAGGTGAGAGCCAACTCGTGGTGATGTTGGGAAGTTTGGGTTGAGGACTCCCTTCTGAAGCTGGCTTCCCCAGCTAGGGGGTTGAATGGGACAACCTGTCCCCCGTGCCTGCGCCTAGTGACCTCTAGTGACCCAGTGGAGATGGTGCAGGGACACCTGAGCGGTTCCAAATTGATGACGTCCACAGTGGACGCGGATGTCCCCTTCCACTCATGGACATATCTTCGGTTCAAACACCCAACCTGTAGAATCTTGATTAATTCTCCCACCTTCAGATTGCAAAACCATGTCAAACCTCTTGAAACATGGGTGGTGACATGCCAAGAGTCAAGAGTCTAGCTCTCTGCCGCTGGCTGAGCATTCCCAAATTGATCCAATGATTGGGCTTCAAAGAGTCTTGAGTCTGACACATCGGAATTCAAGAAAACGCTATCACAACCCAAACGGTGCGCACGCGAGTGCCGCTCTCGCGTGCGGCTTGCCGGAACAACACCAGCACAGGGCCACTCGGCTCAGTTTATCTTTCCATTCATCACGCCTTGGTCTTTTGGAGGTCCGGAGGTGAGATGCTGGGGACGGGAACACGCTGCTCCACCAAACCATCTGGGCGATGAACGAAGCATCCTCCCAGATGGTCCAGGGTTCGAGAACTTTGAGAGAACCATTCCCAAAAAGAATATAGGAACGGCTCGGTTTGGGAATTCGGATGGAACACGATCATCTCCAAACGGATGGAACACCCGACGGAATTCTGCCGGTGATCCGTCGTCCAAATTCTTTGCAGTCCGGCAATGGATGGCAGAATCCATGTCAACGGAGTCAACGCAAGAAAGCTGCTGATCAGTTGTACATGAACAAATGGGTAGAAATTAAAGACAATCTATAAGACAATATTATATATATATATATCTAATTATATCTAAATATATCTCTAGTTGTAATGCAAGGGTACGTGCTCATGTGAAAGGAGCTCGCGATCAACAGCATCGAAACCCCAGTACATTGGGTTCGCTGCCTTTTAACCCTTCTAGAGACATCCAAAGACTCTTCTGAATAAACCCAATGATAGCCTCCCAATTGGCCAACGACACCAACCTTTCAATCATGACTTACACCCTCTCGACTGCAACAGGAACATCACCTTTTCTGCCATGGTTCCATCCTCCCCGCGTTCCGAGCAAGGCCTCCGGGCTCTCTCATCGCTTTGCTGATATCGTCGTGCAAGTCTTCGATCTGCGTGTCCCGCTGACGCACCCTACGGGCCACGGCGGCCACGGAGCAGTGAGCAGTGGAACTGTCAAGCGGCGGAGCTGAGGGATGCAGCTCTTGGAGGTGTTTTGCCCTGGCCCATCTTTCCCCTTTCCGGCCCCAAGTGTACATCTTCACAAAAAGATCAGACCATAATTAAGGCCGACACCAAATGACCACACAAACAACATCTCTCGCCCATGTCTTCGTTGATTCCAGGGCTCCCCAACTGCGTCTCGGCGCGCTCCGCTCGCTTGAAGTTGGACGTGGCCTCTTCCTGGGCGCTGGACCACGCACGAAGAAGAGCGACGGAAAGAGGAATGGAAGCCATGAGGGAAGTGGCTCGGAGAAGAATTCATGATTTGGGGAGTGCAAAAAATGTCTGCAAATGGTCATATGTGGCCATGATGACCTGAAAACCCGTAGTTTTGGGTGATGTACATAGTGGTTCAGTTCAAAGCTGAGGTTCTGAGAATTTACACCTTCGACTTGCAAGGTCTTTTTCTGCGTTCTCCGTCTTAAGAGGTTGGCCTCAACAGAGACCTCGGGGAGAGGCTCCTAGAAACCGTGTCTTTGACATACTCAAAACGGCACGAAACCTGTTCGTCGCATGGTCAGAGGCCTTGTAATGCTGGCAACATCTGGCAACCTTCTTATGCGGGTTGGACCTCTGGCCTTTGCTCCATATGCTCCATCATGCTCCGTCCAAATCGCTTGGCTCTACCAGTCCCGCCGAGGCAAGCCTGGACCATCTCAATCTGAGCGTTCAGCTTTCTGACCTGCACAGCAGCCATGCGGGATCGAACTCCTTTCATACCCCCTTCGAAAGAAGAACACGCATATGCCGCATTGTCATAAAATGCCGCATGCTAAAGATGCATGAAGGAACCTCCGTGGAACCCCTTGTTATCCTTGTTGAGACCCCTGACCCGCATGAAACCCCGCCGTCCGACACCTGCTCGCGCGAGCAGACTCGCGCGCTGGCCGCGCCGCTCCGCCTGCTCCTCCAGAGAGTTCCGTTTCGCTCGCTCGGCTTCCTGTGAAGCGGGTGATTGACGGGGTCTGAAGGGGATCTGGCAAACTGCATACTAAGATGACCACCCGGAAATAGCAAACTACCCTCAGTCAGACTGTCCAGTATGTATGACTGTGTATGTAACAAGTACTTGGACGGTATGAGAATGTATGAGACAAAGTGTATCAAACTCTAGGATTCAGTGTACGAAATCGTTGGACGAACTGCCTTTGCAAAACAGTCACCCTGCCCAAAAATTGAACAAACATGAACAAACAATATCAGAATCGAATCATCTGAGTGCCAATACAGGTCTACATACTAGAAAAAGCTTCCGAGATGCTGATATCCTCCAAGGATGTCCAAGGTGAAATCTGGGTCTAGATCTTCAGGCGCATTTCTCCGCAAAGAGTGTGGGTCTTCCTGGAACCCCAACTTCTGGAACCGGAACCGGAACGAACAAAGTTTGGGCTGCTAGTTCAACGACCATCAGGTGCCTGATGAACCTGGTTCGACTGGCAAACATGCATTGGACATGGCCAACAAATCATGATGGTCCAAAATGCCAAGTCGGTCAGCTGATATCAGCTGTGCACCAAAAAGAATGGTGCAAGTTGCCCCACGAACCGGTCACTGCGCCGCGACTCGAAAAAGGAAGGCGGCTGGCTTGGGGGGGGTTCTGAAGGGATTGGGAAACGGCTCCCGGAAATCGACGGTGGGGCGGAAATCGACGGTGGAAAACTCGTTGCACGGCTGCTTTGATCAAAACATCCACAACTTCGGAGCGTCCAACGTCCGCAGCCAAATGCAAGGCTGTAAAGCCATTGATGAGTAACGCCTCTTTCTTGGCACGAGCCGCAAGCAGAAGTTGCACCACTTCCCAGTGACCAGCCAGGGCAATGCAAAGCAGTTGCACCGGACCGCATCGGTGAGTCTCTCTTTGCCCCCGCCTCAAGCAATCGCACGACTTCCAAGTGGCCGTTGGTGGCTAGCGCTGCAAGTGTCCCAACCTGACACGGGGTAAAGGACACATGCCGCCATTCATGCAAGGTCCTCAGGGATATGCGTCGGCAAGGTTTGTCGCCTTAGTGGTGGCTGCAAAATGCAAAGCCACTTGCAAAGCCCCTCGTGATCTGCTCTCGCCTCAAGCAGTAGGCTGAGAATTTGCCAATGGCCATTCTCAGCTGCCACATGAAATGGGCGCATCATTTCTGCCTGTTGAAGTGGTGTTTGGACCCTGTGGTGCTTGAAGCAATCTTTCAACGTCCTCGATAGAAATTCTCCTCACAGCTCCAAGCAAGTTCCTGCTGCGCCATGTGGTCAGGACGACAGAAGTCCAAAATCACCAACTGTACGCTTTCACACCGGATCACCCCCCCGTTTCGTCCAAATTCGAGACCTTGAGTATCCAATCTGAGAAGCCAGAAACTGTTTAAGGTCCTTCACTTTCAGCAACTCTTTCACCTGACACTGCCCTAATCAGCATTGCCGGCAATTGTTTGGCGTTGGACGCCCGCTCGACCCCTTTCTGCGGGGCCTTGAGTGACCGGCCTCGATCATTCACACAAACCTCCTTCATAGCCCCAGCCGAGTGGTCAACGCACGTGCAGACTGAGGAGAAAAAGTGCCTAGTTTCGGCATGGACCGGGGCCTATTTGGGCAAATCCCATCCAATCCCTATGGTTTCACTTTAAGGATCAGTGAAAAATCATAGAAGCAACAGCAGAGTGAACAACACCAGCATGTCGGGACAAATCTTCATCTTCCCCGACCTTCCCGGAGTGACTGGGAATGCAGGCTCCAGCGATCTCCGATGGAGCAACCACTGAGGGACAACAGGTCTGGACCCACAGGTCACCCTGTCGTGCTTTAAGGGCTGGGAACCGGGGGGGTCATGATATGGTCTTGTTCCGCCTCCATCTTCCAAACCAAAGCAGCGGACCTTTCAATCCCCACGCAATCCCATAAAAACACACTACAGAACTCGAGCCGCCCGGCCACACCCTCTGCCCCGCACTTCGCAGCTGGTCCTTGGACTTCTCATCCTCCCTGAGACAAATCAAGGCCCACAGATCCTGGTGCAGGATCAACAAGGACAGGGGCCCAGCCTCCCCCTGCCCACGAGCAGCATCGTGCACCCGACAACTCGTCCTCAGTTGGAGCTGTAAAGAAAGCAGGGTGGCCCCCCAAAATGCATGTGTTCATATGTTTCCTTTTGTGGGTCGCTGTGAGCCAGCAATCTGATGACTTCTTCATCAACTGAACTTGAAATGTTCAAGACATTCCTAGAATCCCTTGGAGGTTACGGGTGTTTCTGGCTTTGAGACATCACCCCCTGGTGCGGCATGGTGCGGTCCTGCCACTCGCTCGGAGGGTTTCACTCATTTTGACGGACAACGGGAGATCCGTCACAAGAGGATCAACGGCCCGTTGAGGTCAAAATTGAAGTATGCACAATCACAGACCCTGCCGAAGTAAGATACCCACGTGCCACACCTTAAAGGAGTTTTTGCCTGCGACATGAGACTTGGAAGGATCAGGAAGCTTTTGGTGCTTCGACTGAAAGGGAAGAATGACCTTCTCCAAGTCCTTGCTCCTCAAACATGTTTGAAGGGGGTAGAGTCATCCTGGAGAAGATCCAACTATGATGAAACAATATGAAATATTATGAAACATATAGTCATAATTTGAGGCTCTACTGATGCTTGTCGTTGTGTCATGTGTGTTACATACCATGGTGCCTAATTACTCGCGTGCCGAAACGGGGGCACGGTGGATGGTTTTTTGCCTCCCCCGCCCGGTCGTCCGGTCGTCCGGTCGTCCGGGCGAACCGAACTCCTCGTAGCTGAAACGGTGTTGGTCCAGGCGTTGCTCCAGGCTCTTCTTCGCTGCCGCAAAGGCATCCTGAAGCCTGGCCCGAGGCGTTGCTCATCTCCATCGAGGCAACACCGGCAGCGAGAGGCAATGCATCGGCGAGGGCGAGGGCATCGGCGTGAGGTCTGCTGCGAGAGGTGGGGTGGCAGCGAACGGAACTGGGTTCAAAGCCACCAGCGACAATTTCGGTGTCAGCAGCTGTGGGACTTCAAAAAGAGCCCCAGTGACGTCGAAAAAACAGTTTCAAACCTGGCCGTGTTTTTGTGCACCAGCTGGACCCCTCCCTGAATGCTGGTTTTGGAGCTGCTCTCAGTAGAAGGAGAACACAATAAAAACCGATATAATATTATGACATACCAGATTCGAGGCAAAACACGGGGGACCCTTAGCGCAGCGCAAAGAATGGCTGACCAGCGGTTTATGACGTATATAACCTTCCACTTGCCTAACGCCGGACCGTGCCACCCTGTGCCGCAAGGCATGGCTTCTTCCACCAAGCAAGTCGGAGTGGCTCGGCCATCTTTCGGGCGGCTTCTTCTCGTTCGCATTCCAGGAGCATCTGCGGACATTCCAACGGGACCAGGTGACCAAACTGTGGCGTTTTGGGGGAGGGTGGTTCGGTAGGGAGAAGCCAAGGATCTTCGATAGAAGGAACATTTAAGTATATTCATGAAAGTGAAGATCAAGCAATAAACAAGAATCGCGCGTCTATTACAGGTCTAAACTGGTGAGGCACTCCATCATTCGGGTCTCTTTGATTTGTCTTATAACCAAAATCTGAGACACTGTATGTTGTTTTTTCACATCCCCAATGTCCCCAGATGCAGGTAAGTTTTCTGTCTTCTGTTTAGCAGTCGTTTGTGCAGTATAAGTCTGGCAAAGAAGAATGACCTCATGAATTCCCAACAGGTGAAAGGCTTCATCGCTCCTTTTTAGGGAGGCTGCTGGAGGCAATCGTGTCCTTCCACCTTCGGATGGACTCTCCGCCGACCTCCGCACCGCGTGGGCCGCCTGGATCGCTCGCGCGAGCGCCGCGCGCCTGGATCTCTCGCATCTCGGCTTCGTGGGACGCGACCACTGCGTGGTACTTGTCCACCTTCGCACACCACGAACGAAGGGCACCGGGAGGGAGCGGTAAGGTAATACCTTGGTCCCCCAATACACTTGTAGTCCAATACATTGGTAGTGGGGATATGTGGGGATCTACTTTTCTATCTATTTGGGGATCTATATCAGATACCTGGGGGGTGCTTGGTACCGGCTTGGCTGGATGGATGGATCATGCACGGCACACTGGCATCGTGAAGGGAGTGGTTGCCGGATGTCTTCTACCGACGACATTGGGAGTGCGGCGGCATGAGGCTCACGGTCCTAAGTTTACCATGACTATATCCGCCGACCCCGGCTGAAGGAGGGGGAGCGCGCGAGGGATTACAGGTGCGGGAGCCTTGCGCTTCTTCGTCTCAGCACGAACCTGCAGGCAACAGACGCTTCCACTGCTCGATGCTGCTCGAACACATGCATCACTGGAGCCGCAACCTATTGCGCTTCTTCGTCGCAGCACGAACCTGCAGGCAACAGACGCTTCCACTGCTCCATGCTGCTCGAACACATGCATCAGTGGAACCGCAAGCTACAGCAACATACGAACCCCCTCTGGCGGTGGCTCACCATGTCGCGGTCGTGCTCCCTGAGGCCCTCACCGAGCCGGAAGCAGGGGTGGGCACCGAAAGTGTGACCATGGGAGTTTTTTTCTAGGGATTCAGAGGCAGCGTTTGGCACCCAAAGTGCGACCATGGGAGGCTCGTTTTGGATCAGAATTAGATTGGGAAAAGCTGTGGCGGGACCAGGTGTTCGGGGCCAAGATGACCGAGACAAATGGAAACAAACTTCTTTGTTTCTAGGGATTCAGAGGCGGCGTTTGGCACCCAAAGTGCGACCATGGGAGGCTCGTTTTGGATCAGAATTAGATTGGGAAAAGCTGTGGCGGGACCAGGTGTTCGGGGCCAAGATGACCGAGACAAATGGAAACAAACTTGTTTTTTTTCATCCTCGTGTGAATATGGGGAGTGGGTTGGGCCATCAGATCCTGTAGGCACAAAATCAAAGGGGCCAAGATTTTTCTTCTACAGAAATGGATGGAGCAACCATATTGAGGCAACAGAGATACCACAAAATCAACAACCCCAGGGTACCCAGTGCAAATGGCCAAAAACAAAGGTGCATACAAGTGTCCTCTACAAAATCCCTGACCTAAGTATCCAGAATAACTATTGGATAACTTCTCGCTCAAGTTTTCTGGAGATCAAAGAGAGGGCCTACAATTTTGTAGAGGTCCTGGGCCGGTCCTGGGGTTTGTGTGGGATTGTATGGGTTTGTTATGTTTTGTAACCGAATCTTTTTCATATCAAGCTCTCTCAAGGCATCTCAAAGCACCTTTTTCTTCTTTGCATACGAGATCACGGAGGTATATAGTTTTCGTTCTTTAGTGATGCATGCAGATTCGGTGTGATGCTATACATCTCTGCAAAAGTCCATATTCAGCTAACGCGCTTGCGCACAAGCGCCCACAAATGCTGAATATGGTGTTGGCTATGCTAGGCATGCCCCTACAGAGAAGACCCCGTGGTATCCAAACGCACCTAGTGGATCCTTGCCACAGTTTCCAGCACAGCACGAATACCTTTTTCCAACATGAAATTCAAATCAACAGGATTCAACGGGATTGAACAGGGATGAACAGGGATGAACAGGGTGGGGTTGAAATCTTCAGGCAATGACTTGCCACACCTATCCACTCTTCGTGCTTCCTGGTGCATTGGAGCATATTGGAACTCAATGGAATCTGAATTAGAGTTGAAAGATGTTGAAAGTTGGGAATGAAACCTCGCAACAACTGAAAAGCTACACTCAGTACGTGTTCACTGCATTTCACTGCTCACGCCGTTGCCTGACACACGTTCTTGATAAAGGTCAACCATCGCCGACGCCTGCCGTTCTCTAGGTCCTCGATGATGTTCTGAAAGCTTCGCCAGACTTGCTTGCCCCACACGGCGATTGAACTGGATGAAGCAAACCTACAGGTATTACCAATCGGAGCCAATCGGCAACAAAAAATATACAAAAATTTAAAAAATACCTAAAAATACAGGGCGAAACAGGTGTAGTATATGCCACCTGGGAACTCCTTACACAAAAACTCGTACGCATGGCTGAGAACGAACGCCCAGGTCACTCCATGCACACCGGATTCAACCAGCAAGCACTGGTCTTTGGAGTCAAACACAGGCTTGCTGGGAAAATGAGCGGCGTCTAGATTTCTAATGCGCCGCACCGTTTGCTGCACGAGCTGTCGACCGGTCTCATTCTTGCGGAAGTTCTCTGGCTGAAATTCAATCTCCTTTGCGGCTTCAACGGGTTTGGAACCATGCTTCTTGCCCTTACCCTTCTTGGTTTTCTTGGCCTTCTTGCTTTTCTTTGCTTCCTCGGTGTCTGCGACGTCTGCTGCAATTGTCTGACCCTCTTCTTTCTTCAGAAGCTTTGTCTTTGACTTCGCACTACATCTCATTGCAAAGTCAAATTTCCTCTTCCTGGACACAGGCTTTGCACTGAAATGCCAGGCCTCAGACTCGATCACATCCTTATCAGGACCCAGCCACCAAGCCAACGAGTCACCCTTGAGAATCCTGAGCAGCTCCTCACTCTCGGGCGTCAAACGAATTCTCAAGGATTCTGTCGTTTCCTCAAACTGTTGGGAATCCAAAATGCTCAGGATCTGTTCCACGCGCACCAGAAATGCAAGGGATTGATCTGAGCACTCCCAGTGCTCTCCAACGGCCTTTGCCTGAATGACCCGCATGGTGGAGATGTGGTTTGCCGACAGCGCTGTTGTTGACAACCTTGGCTTTTTCAGTCCCTGCCACAAGGAAGCAACCACCCCAACGCAGCATTGGCTCCGGTTCAGGACAAAGGCAACGACGTGGCCATGCCTACAAAATGGAAAAATTGAAAAACGAAAAAACATGGAACTACCATGAACTACCTGATACATCCTGATACTATCAAAAACGGGAATCAAACATATCTTGAAAAAATATGAAAAATGATAAAACATGTTTGAAAATGCTGAGGGTCTGAATTTGATCAGGAAAATTCGCATTCACTGCTCGCTCAGCCGCTGCCTGACGCGCTACCTCCTTCCACTTGTCCAATCTCCCGGCTCGCTGGCGGAATACATCGTCCTTTTCCTGCCTTGCTAGCATAGCCAGCTTCCGCTCGTTGAACCTCAGAGAACGTGGAAAAACATAGGAAATCCATGAAGGTCCAATAAACAATATCACACACCTCTACAAAATCAGCAGTGCCAACATTTTCCAACAGAATGAACTCTACAAAATCATAGGCTTTGACTGGCTGGTTGGAAAACATATGAACGAATATGAATGAATACATATGAATACTCTACAAATCTTTACAAACTCTCTACAAAATCAAAACCTTGGGCGCACAAGGCCACTATGTTCCACTACAGAATCATAAACCCACAATGATCCATACAATTTTCATCCCAAGAAGATCCTACAGAATCAGAAACCTTGGTAAACAATGGTAAACATATGTAAAAAAATTGCACCAGGACCTCCAGCAATCCCCAGAATATCCCAATATATCCCAGCACTCATTTGCTACGCTAGCAGCTGGTGCCAGGAAAGCTTCTTCGAAGCTACACGGCATGACACCGGGTTTGGGATCCAATGGCTGTCGCATCCCTTGTGCTTCCTGAGCGTCAGCAACTTCCGACCGATGAAACAACGGGAAAAAACACGGAAGCGATGGGAATCGTACCGAATCGTACGGAACATTATGGAACAATATGGAACGCTATGGAACCAAACATGAAACATAAGAATAGAACAGAATAGAACAGAATTGAATTGAATAGAATTGAATTGAATTGAAATGAATTGAATAGTTCTTGAACAATTGAGGTGCCCATGTCGTAGCGAGACAGACAACCTCCACAACGAATCCCACAGTGACCTGCCATTGTTGTGCAGCTCCAAAGCCTCCTTCAAAGTCAGCGGCAGGTGTTTGGGCTGCTGCGCTTCTGCACTCTCACTAGGCTCCGGCGCCATGGCTTGCTTGAGCTCCTCAGCATCTGGCAGATCATCAAATTCCATCGCGTCCTTCTCTGTCTCAATGTCCGGCCCCTCTGCAAGATTCACCTGCTCCTCCTCCATGGCAGCTGCAGCTTTTGCGCTATCGTCCTGGATGACTTTCAAAAGGTTCTCGCAAGAGGCGGCAACATCCTCTTGCTCAAGGTCTTCCTCATCCATCTCTACGGGATGAGGTGCCAAAGCAGCCAGGTCAAAGCGTCCCAAGTCACCCCTCCTGCAAGCCTCACGGTACCTGTCCTCCAGAACAGACGAAGACAGCTTAGTGCAAGAAGACACTAGCGCCAAGGAAGACCTCAGTGCATTTTCGCATGCTTCGCGAAAATCATTGGGCGTCAAAGCAGGAAGCTCTGCAACCTTATACTCCTCCTTCTCCTTCTGGCTCCGTCTCAGTTGTTGCACGATTGCCTCGCGAGCCATAGCACGCCAGTAGCCCCGTGCTGTAACCTGCGCAGTGTTGGACTGACTTCGTATCCTGCCAAAAAACTGCTCAATACTGATCTCCCCCACTCGGTTTGGACCAGCAGACCAATAGTCACCATGCGCAGGCTTCGAGAGTGCAATCCCAATGATGCTCAAGCACACCTGCTGCAAATTTGAAGCCGTCTGGGGAGCCATGAAAGTTGACTTCTTGGACAGGCCGTGACGGATTGCCATCACCTCCGATGCCATTTGCCAAAGGTCAATGAGTAGAAATCCACAGACTGCGTTTTCACAGCGGGTCATCAAAGGAAGAAATTGATTGGAAGCTGGGGCAATGCACAGCGCAGAGGTCACATTCAAGAGCAACATTCCGCGCAGCCTCCAGGAAACCGCCACTTCTCCTCCACGAGCCTTACTTAGTTGCACATAGTTGCAACATCCAATCAAGTGCAAACATTGCAAAACGATGAATCACCAAATCAAAATAGAAAAGGATAGA